ACAAAAACACCCACCAGATTTCCCACACAAAGGAAACTGGTCTAATGCAATATCAGGACATACTTTTTATGCATCGCATTTTATTAACGTAAAAAGTTTTCAAAGTTTTCTGTGTAAAAAAGTACAAACAGGAAGTAAACTTTTACTTTGAAAGCTGCACCTCAATAAGAAAGCGAAAGTACCACAAATTTGCACGGACAAGAAATCCAAGAGACGTGGAGGGTTCCTTGACCAAAATGTGTTTCTCTGATAAATCACTGCTTCTTCAAAAAGCTTAAAGCAGTTCTCTCTGATGCTTTCTCCTATCTTTCTTTCTTCAGAACAAGAATCAAAGTTTCTGCGAGACATTGGTGTTTCAATCCTTAGAGCATTCTCCTTGTTATGAGATGTTAAACTGTCACAATTAGGTAGGAGGAGGTCGGACCCAAAATGCAGAAACACAGAACGACTCAAGGCAGGAGAGGTTGTAAGAAAAAAAATTCATTTCATTAAGGAGGGTAAGGCACGAAGAACCTGAGAAACTAGAGGGGGACAAAAACGCTGACATCAATGGGCCGACAACACAGAGAGACACAGGCAGGGTGTATATGTACAGACGCTGGGTGATAGGAGACGAGGGGTAGGTGTGTGGGAATTGGGCACAGGTGAAAACATTGAACTAAGGAGAAGCAGAAATAAGCAGAGGAAAAACCCAAATATAATCCTGAAAACCAAAGCTACTGAAATAACCAAACTAAACTAAAAACATAATAGAAACTTGAATGCTTGAAAATAGACACTGAGACAAAATGTATTCAAGAGGGCGCATCATCAAACATGGCAAGGGTAACTTATGTGTCAATGTGACCTCTTGACTTAAATCAATTTATTGTTTAGTGGTGCTCAAAAAGTCTCTTTTCAATGGGGTTTCCATACTTGCACCATGTTTCATCATATAGTTCTGCGTATTAAGTAGAAACAAGGGAAGGATTTGCCTTTGAGAAAAGGGCTCATTGTGACTGATAGAGTCGCTGACCCTGCACATTTTAGGTCAATGTGAACCCTTTGTGTTCTAACAGGGTCTAATAACTGACCCCAGTTCGCATCAGTCTATCTATCTATCTTTCAATGTATTGATTGATCAAATGATTAATGTATTGATTGATTAATCGATTAATTCATTGATTAATATAAACATATATATGAGAGAGAGAGAGAGAGAGAGAGAGAGAGAGAGAGAGAGAGAGAGAGAGAGAGAGAGAGAGAGAGAGAGAGAGAGAATAAAAGTGTCACATTTAATCTAAAGTGGGTCAGATCACTTTTATCAAAAGCAACTTTGACAGTTAAAGTTGCTGTTTTTTGTATAATCTATTACTTGGGTGGTTTGGAGTTGAACTCATCCATCATGTCACTAAGTTAATTAAGTCAGAGTAATAAAAAGCTTGCTACCTTACAACCAGCCACCTCTGAAGGCCAACTAGCTCTTTGCCAATTTAGATGTGTCGCTATTGAAGTGTTTTTTACTGCCTTTAATAAATTAGGTCTCATTAAAAAATGAAAAATATCAGCCGAGGACCCTAAATGACTTATCTCCTGGAGATTTTCTGTGTAGCTTCACTTGAAAATCTCACTGCCTTTCAGACTACCGTTACCTCAAACCACCCTCTGATCTTCATTGATAATCTGTTTCGGCTCCTATAGTAACAACATCTGATTTCTTGGAATAATAAACCACTGTCTATCACTTCTCATAGCATGACTCAATAAACAACAAATGTGTCATATCTAATACTAATATTGGGAGATAAATGTGTTGGATTTCAGGAGGATGTGCATTTTAGACTTTAATGAAATGTTTTATGATGTGGATGATCAGCTATAATAAAGTCTGTCCTGGGAATTTTAAAATTGATCTTGTGGTTAACTGAATAATATATAAAATGACTGTACACATCCTGCTAAACAAATCAAAAACTTATTTGATTTAGTTATTCTGTGCATTTTTTCTTATGACAAAAAAATCAACTATAAAGTTGCGTCAGTGTATAAAATCAAATTACTAAACATGCATTTAGTCAGTTAGAAATACTGTTCCTAATTGAAATTTTCCCATAATACAGGTGTAGAAAATGTTCTGTCTACTCATACGCAAGAGAAAATGTACCAATTTGAATTATGTTGGTTATTATTTTCACATCATTTTAAGATTTTACTCATAATCATTACCAATCACCTGCAGAAAGGAGCTCATCTGGTGATGCAAACACTTGCATGTATTGTGCAAATGTCATAGAGCAAAAACCGCTGCTACCAAAATGAGGCAAGTTGTGCCAAAGCATTGCATTCAAGGGGCTTTCTATTTTCAACTTCAATTGCTTCAAAGATGCACATGCAATTTGTAATTAATATAATCATAATTACAATTATAACAAACCAATTAGATTTACTCAAACCATTGCAAGCATGTCAAACAATAACGTCTGATTAAAACAGTTCATGATCAGATTGATTATTATGTCCTAGATGCATAATAATAATAATAATAATAATAATAATAATAATAATAATACAGTGTTTTCCTCTAGATTGGATCCCACAGATTTGTGGAATCCTGTATTGAATGTGTTTCATCTTCTAACTCATGTCAGATGCTCACAGAACCTAATAAACCGTTGAAATCAGCATAAATCATTTAAATATCAGTCAGAAAAGACATGTGGAAATAATTTTCATATTAAAGCATGTTTTGCAAATGAGTTAATTTGAATTAGTGTTAAAAATATCTACATTCCCTAATCAGCAATGACAGATTGAGCAGAGATTATCCAACACTAATTTGCAATGCAAAGTTCTGCGAGGGGAAACTTTGACAGAGGTAGATGAAAGTATACAGACAGGTTATTATGAGGGTGCATATGTGTGCATTTCATATGGTTATAATGTAAAGGCTTTAAAATGATGACCTGAAGGCTTCATAACAGAAAACGAGTTGTTTGTGCATTTTTCTGTTGTTGCAATCATTATGATGAAGCTGCAGGCTGCAGGCATGATCCAGGAGTGTCTAACTGATTGATTGTGTCCATCACCTTCAACTAAGCTATTTTATGGAGAAAAATATAAAATATTTCTTCTGTGATTTTAATAGTTCTGCATCAGTCATCTCAGCTCAGTGATAAACTAACAAATATTCCTGAGAACTGGTATTTTAAACCAAATTTGTAACCACACCGCTGACTTTTTCGATAATAATGATTTCAGATTAGATCGTGCTAAAACTCAACAAAATACATCCCATTTCTTTTCTCTTTTTTTTTTCCTATTTAAAGCTCCGCTAAAGCAGGCAGATACACAAAAAATCCAAACACATGCAAGTCATCACTGAGAAAAACACAGTCATGAGGTACAAATTAAATCCCCACTAAGATTTCCTGAAAGCCCTGCTTCCTCCTAATAAATATAATAACAGAGCGAGGCAGCCATGTCACACTGAAAAAAGGCTCAGTGAGCTTTGTCCATTTGCTGTCACTGCAGCTTGCTGGCTGAGGTGTAAAACACAATCAACTTTTTCCTCGCCTAGTGTCAGCTCGTTTGGATTAAGATGCTGGATGTGCATTCCAAACAAAATGAGATGCTTCCCCCATATGCGTGTTGATGTTTCTATTCATGAAGCACTTAACGTTGCCTCCGTTTCGTGCCGACTTCTTGATCGTCCTGCAGTTTGACAACTGGATGTCTGGACTTGAGAAGCCTAATGTTTGCCTTTAAATGCAGTTTTTCCACTCTTCATTTAGACGGCCACAGTTTGGAGGAGACGTGCTTTCTTTGGGAGGAGAGAACAACTAAGAAAACATCTGCTAAAAAGCGGGTAAACATCAGTCACAGACAGAACCGTTTAATGACGAATCAGCTATAAATACACGGCTATATTTTAATTGTTTTCTTCTGCCATCTAAACCAACGAGCCCAGAGGTCCGCTGTGGTGCAGTGATGAACCACATCACTGGGAAAATGAGCTGTACCTCAGAGCCTGGGCGAACTGCCTGTTGAATGCACGACAGCCTCAGCCAAAACACACAGAACCAGCGTGTGTGTGTGTGTGTGTGTGTGTGTGTGTGTGTGTGTGTGTGTGTGTGTGTGTGTGTGTGTGTGTGTGTTTGTGTGTGTGTGACTGAGACAAGTTTTATGGATACAGCTACAACAATATTTAAAAATCACAATATCATCCAGAAGTCGTCCATGCAGCTGAATCAAAGGGAGTTTTGAGGCTCTTGCTTCAATGAAGCATCATGTTATGTGTGAGTAGAAAGTAAAAGTGTCAAATCATAACATAAATATTATGATGTCACATTCACTAGAGTGCAGGATTACATTCTGAATGAGGAGTTTTCATTATGCATAATAGAAATGTGTTGATGGCTTTCAGATCGAAACAGCACACACCATCATTGTGTGAAATACAAAATCCAACTAGCATTCACCTAAAAAGGTTTGTTAGCGTTCTGATAAAGGAACATGTGAAATTATCATAATAAACATGATCTAATAATAGGTAATAAAGTATTTACCTAACATGATGCTGCAGATCTGACACAAACCTCTATTAAAGAACAAGAGTTTTGCAGAAACCTTTGCATCTTCAGTCTAATCGCAACATGTGCCACTAAAAAAAAAGAAGTCAGTCGATGTTTCTGTTGTAATTCAAATCTAAAAGATTAAAAACGTTTAATTTGATAACCGATTTAATTGAATGCATAGGCTACTGCAAAATGAGCACTTTAGTAGAAATACAAGGCCAATGTGAATAATTTAGTTTGTGCATGCAAAACATAAATGACCTTACAAATCCATGTGAAATTGAGATGAATGTACAGAAAATCACATGTGAACAGTTTGTTTTGATGCTGTCAGAGATCAGGAGGCACATCTGGATCTCTACACTTCTCATGTGCAGCATCCCAATAAACATGATTGTTGTGTATGTAATAAAAAGGCTGCACTTGTTAATGAATGGGGTGACTTACCAGGCATAGACTGCCGAAGAGCGCGATGAGGAGAAAGTCCAGATGATGGAGCATCAGAGAGGATGCCATCCCGGACCCGAGGCACCTCCAAGATTCCTCCTCCTCCTCACCGATGGAAAAGATGAAGCTCAAAAGCAGCGATTTAATCTACTTAACTCTCTTCAAAGTGGAGCGTCGTTTTACTCCATCTGGCCTCTGGCTGCTTCTGACTGCTTGTGAAATCATAACTGAGTAAATCTCCTATTTCATTTCCTATAATGTAGTCCGGTTCAGCCCGCTCGCTTGATTTCTCTGCATCTGTCTCTTTTTCTCTCCTCTGAAATTACATCCACATGTCAGAACTATTTATGTCGCTCGCTCCCTCTGCGGTGGGAAGTTCAAATGATTCTTTGTAGGGAAGAAACCAACGCTGTATTTTTAGGTCTTTTTTTTTATTTCCCCGCAGACTAACTTAAACACTTCAGTATGGAGCTGTGTGCACTTTTGGGGTTCTTACAGTCTCTCTTTAAAAAAATCAGACCTGGATTCCCTAAAAATAAAACTAAATAAATAAAACAAGAGCGGCTATAAGGCTGAGTCCATCACCGGTGGTTGCTGAATTTCACAACTTCATTCCTCTCTGACTCATGTCACCATCAACGCGCTGCGGACGCCAGGATCTCAGACAGACTTCACTTTTTGCATTTAAATGCAAACATTAACAATTTTATGACATACCTACTCAAAAAAGCACTTATCTGTGACCCATTCGATTAAATTTACGTCCTAACTTTGCTTTCCGTTGCTTACAATAAACAAAATCACGTGCTATTTACAGAATTCGTCCAAAAATTTTAATTACGCGTGACGCGCCAACATGTCTAGATGTATCAAAGCGCAAAACGGGCTCTGTTTACCAATGGTGATGGAAAAATATACCCAAAAAAGCCATAAGGAGGAGGAGGAGAGAGAAAACGCCGACTTTTACTCAAGGATCTCTACTTACTATCAAGAGAAAGACAGCGTTCGCCCTGACGCACTGATAGGTCGCCTGAGCGTTTGTGTGCGCTGCGTAATAAAAAGTTGATGTTTCTTGCGCTGGGAAGCGTCTCCAGATGTGGCAAGCGGCAGGTCGTGTTCAGTAGTGAGTATGTGGATGGAAAAGGGAGGGTGGGTGTGTGTGAGGGGAGAGGCGTGGGTACGGAAAAGAGGCAGGTAGGGTGGAGCGTTCACACCTCTGATTGGTGCGTCCGCTCTTGCGTTGGAATAACCCACGACTCCAAAATGACAGTTTTTTCTCTCTCTCTCTTCTCACTCTTTAAACAAACTCCACATTCAGATCGCAGGGCCTCTGCCAAACCACTTTTTCCTCCTGGAGTTTCTCAAAAGTTGCATCTAGTTGGATTGGATTACAGAAACATGATGCAGGAGATGTCAGGCTTTCAAAAAGAGCCGCTCAAATTTGAATCCGGGCAAAAAAAGTGGAATATCCACCAAGATCTTTTTAAATATTGTTCAGAATAGAAATATGTTTTATTTGTTAGCAGATCATGGTCACTTTCAGTGTGACATAATACATATTTTCTCCTTTTTTAAGCTTGAACTTTATTTCAATCTCATGAAATGGTCCAAAAATAAAATTAGCAGATCAAAATCAGCTAATTTTCTATATGATTGGCCTAGTCGCAAATTGAAATATAATTTTCTTATTTATTTAATATTTTTTAGATTTTGTTTGGAAGTGCACCTTATAAATCCTGTTTCACTGCCCCACAGCATGAAGTTATATTTTACTCCCAAGATATTTTTTATTCATCTTTTATTTGTTAGCTGCAACTTTTCAAGATACCAGCAGAAACAATAATCAGAAATTCGCTTTCCAAACCTGAATCCCATTCTATTTAACTATCTGACACCTCTGTTCACATCAAAAACCTGCATGTCTGACATCCATCTTTTTTAAGGAATGGTGTAGGATTTAATATTTACATCATTATTCTCCAGCAGCAAAGAAAAAGCTGACAGGTTTTTACTTCTGAAGAGCAAAGTGTGTAAAATACTGTAGTTATTAAACCATGTGGGTCACAGCTGATAGTAGAATAATGGTGTTATGCAGCCACTGCATCACTGTCTTCATGCTGTTTGGATTCAGGTAAAACACCACACTTCAGACACACTAGAGTAAACAAGTGCACACACACACACACACACACAGAGAGAGAGAGAGAGAGAGAGAGAGAGAGAGAGAGAGAGAGAGAGAGAGAGAGAGAGAGAGAGAGAGAGAGAGAGAGAGAGAGAGAGAGATTTCCTTCTTTTGTGGACCAGAACAAGCATTCCCCATCCGAGAGCAAAGCACAGAAACTGAAACGATATGGACCTTCAATAAGTCCAAAAAGATTAAACTCTTAGGGGTCTTCGTTGAATTAGTGTTTATTTGGCATGCCTTAAAGCATTTTAGTAAATATTTTAAGATTTAATTACATTTAGAAGAAAGTTACCAAGATGTGGCTATTTCAATTTATTTCTATGTTGGCATTTAATAACATTTGTATTGTAGGTTATTATAAAAACATTGAAAATTTCACTTTCATACAAATGAATGTCTCAAAAATATGCTTGTTTGCTGAACACAATACTTAGCTCAAATTGTGTAGTCCTTCTGGGATTAAAATACATGTTGTTAAAATGATTGTACTTCATCTACATTTTATTACCAGCCTTTTCTGAATATTTGCTGATTTTATCGTTATTTTATCATATCTGCTTTACGTTGCAGCTAAGCTTCTGAAATGCTCTCTGCTTTAGTTTCTCCTCCACCTTTTCTACTGAAAGGACAGGCCTTACTGGTTAGGTCGTTGCTCAGAAATGATGCACTGTGAACCGACTGCTCAGTTTTGCTTGGGGCATGTCGCTAGGCAAGCATCATGCTAATGTATCTCATGATGATGTGGACAAGTTAACAGAGAAAAGTGGTAGTGGCCTGTGGGATCTATACCAGGGTGTTTAAGAGAAGCTGAGACAGAAACTATGACTGTTTGGAAGCCCAGAAGAGGAGAGGAGACTGCCTTCTGCTGGAGTAAACAACATCCATGGTTTAGAGACCAGAGCTACTTCAAATCTGAATAATAACCCACAAAACAAATTCATGAAGATTTACTCGCAGCTACAGAAATTGTTTTGTTTTGGCAAAAATAAAACGCAACCTGTTGAGGTTATTTGAAGATGCACAGTTTCTACAACTAGAAGCAGCTGGAGACATTCCTGAAGAAGGAGAGGAACAACAAATATTTCGTATATTCTCCAAATGTCGAGGAAGGATCTCGTCATTCAAAGATGTACCAAGTTCCCAAAGACCTGAATGCTGAACATTCTTAATGTGATATTTTATTATTATAAATTGTGTTAAAATAAACTACAAAGACTTTTTGCTTCAGATTTTCTATATTTATGTGATTTCTGGAATGTCCGTTACTCTTTAAAACAAATCAACATGTACACACAACGGTAGAACATCATTTTGTATAGTTAGTATATTTCAGAAAAAAGAAAATACTAAGATTAGTGTAACCCTATAAGGGTCCTAGACCTTAAATAACAATATTTTTATCTAGTTTTGAAGGCTGTTCTTTTCTTATTTATATAATGGGAGGGGTAAGGTTGACAAAACTAAAAAAAAAAAGTTTTATTTTAATCAAGCAATTATATAATAAGAGTGAAAAAAGAATAAAATAGACTCTTGCCAATTGTAGATCCACCACCAGAGGGCAGTAGACATAAAGAGAACTGTATATGGCTTAGGACTGCATGGTTGTGCAGTTTTATGGCACTGTAGCAAGAAGGTTGCAAGTTCCAATCCAAACTGTGGCATTCCCTGGCTCAATATGCATACTTGTCTGTACTTGTGTACTTAAGTCCTTGTGAGGTGTCATCAACGATGGCCCAAGAACTTTTCCTAAGTATGCATTATGACAAATTCGCTCAAAGTTCCCAGTTGTGTTCTTGCTCCGCCCATTAGATTGTGGATGCATCCTTTTGTGGACTTGGGAAAGCAAAGTATCCCACAATGCATTGTGTTGCAACTGTTATATTTGGAAAGTCAGAGGAGAAATCTACGGTAATAACCGTTTAGTTTTATATCAGAAATACTAATGACGAAATATTAAGTCAGGGTTAGCGTTAAATGGTGTGTAAATGGTAAAATGTGATGTGTGTATTTAGGTTTTTACTTTTCACAATCCCTCAAAATGCTAATTAGCTAACCCACTATATAAAAAAAGCAGAGTAGCTCTGTTTTGATGAAAAATAAAATTTTGTATTCATTTAACAGCCGAAAATGCTGGTATTTTATCAGTGGAAAAAATATAATACAAATAATGTGTTTTCATTGTTGTTTTGTTATTTAAGGAACAAACTAGATGTCATGTTCTGTGTCCCCTTGTTCCCCAGCTCCTCCAGTTCCCACTCCAGGTTTTCCTTGTGTCCCATTATTATCCCCAGCCCTCCGTAGACTTCCCTCAGGTGTCTTTCTAATCATTCCCCATTCCTAATCTATCTTTATTTAGTACTCCTTATCCCTTTAGTTATTAGTTGTTTATTTTTGGCCCTCAGTCTTTAGGTTTAGTTTTTGTGTTTTATAGTGCCCTCCTCTGGTTCTGTTCCTCATTTAGATAATATTATGCACCTGCTTTCCCTCCAGCCTTCACTCCACACACCTGCTGCCTGTTTCCCTAATTGCTCCTCTATGTGTATAAAAGCCTTGTCTTGTCATTCAGTGTTTATTGGTCCATTGTTGTTTGTAAGCGTTGTTTTGGTGCTCTGTGTGAGCTTGCGTCTCGTTCTCCAGGTTTTGTGCTCTAAGTGAGCTTTTGTTCTCCTGCTTTTGGAGTTTTGGATTTTGGCTCGCTGCCTTGGATTTATTTTTGTTCATCCTGCAAAAAAAGGATTTTTACTTTATATCAACTCCTGCCTCTTGTCATCTGGGTAAATCTGCATTTTGGGTCCTAACCATCCCTCAACGTGACACTAGACTTTTATTTTTTTGCCAGGTCCTTTAACCGAAGCTAGAAATAAGCAGCACTTGTTGCCATGACGCAATGGAGTACGGTTCTGTTCCAAATGCCATCCTCATCCTCCGATGCTCAGTAGAACCTGCCTTCTGGTGTCCTTGCCAAGAACATACTTGTCGAGTATAGCGAAATGGACCCTTTTCTCCCCATGCATGTTTGAGTTTTCTCCTGATTCTCTGGTTTTCTAAAAACGTGCATGTTATGTTGATTGGCAACCCTAAATTGCGACCTATAATATCATTTTAGAGACCACATGTTTTCTTTTTATTATTGATTTTTTTAAAATTTATTATCACATTATGTTCTTATGTTGTTTTGTGTCTTTAAAAGCCCAGTTTGGACTCGTCTCAGCCTAAAAATGACAGACCCATTTCCAAAAAGCTCTTTCTTTCTAAAATGTTGGATAAAGTTGTGTCTGATAAACTGATTATTTTTTCGGAACTACAATTTTGATAAGTTCCAATCTGATTTTCGTACAATGCATTCAACAGAAATGCCTTTGCTCAAAGTTTTCAGTGACATCATGATAGCTGCAGACAACAAGGAATTTTAGTATTGTTGGATCTTTCTGCAGCTTTTGACCCTGTTCATCACAGCACCTTAATTAACAGACTTCGTGACTCGGCGAGGACCTCTGCAATTGGAGAAACTAGACTGGTTTAGATCATACCTGTTTCAGTGTGTGTATAAACCAAATCATGTCAGATTCTACCAATCTGCTCTGTGGGGTAACCCAAGGTTCTGTTTTAGGTCCCCTCCGGTTTTTACTATATATATATATATATATATATATACACCCTTTGGACAGATAATGGATTCATTTCATAATGTCTTCTATCACCTATAAGCAGATGACGTTCTGCTGTACTGCTCATTTAAAGAGTTTCATAAACAATCTGGGTCTAAGTACTCAAGTGTCTATCAGCATCGCCAGCTGGCTAGAAGATAACTTCCTTCAGTTAAATTCTGAAAAGACTGAATGTCTGATAATTTCCCCTGAGAGTATGGTTCCCCTGATTAATCAACAAGTCAAACTTGAGGAATTTGGGTGTTGTTGACTAATCAATGTATCTTGAGGTTCACTCAAAAGCACTGGTCTGAAGCTGTTATCATTTGAG